GAAAGTTTCCAGGTTCAAAATCCTTCATGATATAAACAATGTCCCCTACGGGGAGAAATGAAAGCCCTGTGAGCATCGGGCATAGATAACGAAACAAAAAGAAACAATAATACTTAGTTTGGATCAACATGGAAAAAGAAAATTTCTTAAACCTTCAAATATCAATTCAGCCTACTCCATGAGAGATAAGAGCACTGAGGGAACTTTCACTTATAAGGATTTTTATGTTTTTAACCTTCTCTCTAGTAGCAGCGAAAAACAAAGAATTAAATAAATCTGAAAGGAGAAAAGTACCTGCAATTGTTGCATTATCCCATCCTTGCAAGAAGTTACCAATGGTTGCAACAATGGCTACAAGTGCGGCTCCTCTCATCTTAACCCGGGTGAATCAAACTCTCAATATCGAAGTATCCTGTGAGCAGGTAAAAACACCAATCAAAGAAAAACTCTCAATTCACTATTTCATCACTAACCCAGATCTCTATCACACTCATGAGCATCCTCTTATATATTCGTAAAAGCAGTAACGGGTTTGTGGTTTTGCAAAAACCAACCTGTCCTAGAGACAAATCCATGGGCTCTCGCACCCACGGATTCACCATATCGACACTCGCACACAGATTAACAGATTGAAATGAAACATCAACAACGGAAATCTTGATTATCGGGGAAAATGTAAGAGAAACCCATGAACATGAGGCGATATAAAACAATGAAAACCCGGAAATTAAGATCCCTGGACACTTCTTACCTCTGGGCACGCCGCAAAGCTTCGCTGTGACAAAATACTGAAGATAATGAATTTAAAGTAGAGAGAGTCACGCACGAGCTTGGTCAAGGGTTTTCTTTGCAGAGGAGAAAGTAACCGTTAAACGTTTTGCACAGCTTTCAGTCATTATTGAACTTGCCTTGTATATAGGCGAAAATTCTGCTGATTTTATGGCTTCTTAGATAGAATCTTCTTTGTATAAAGACAATGTAGAGTTCAAAAAAAAAAAAAGGAGGGAGAGATTCAAAAATAATAAGAATAAATTTTATATAATCCTTTGCCAGAAATGAAATCCGAAACGGAAACGAAGCGAGCGAAACAGAAAAAGGAAAACAAGCTGCTTAATCGTCTCCCCCGACTCGAGTCTCAACAACCCTTCAAAATCCCGCCAAGATACTCACTCGTCAGTGACTCACTTCAGTCGCTAGGTAAATCTCCGAGTTGAAATCTCCCTGTCAGTTGGTACGAACCTCTCCATTCCTGCAGGGATTATATATAACTTGAAGCGGAGAGTCAGAAAGGAGAAGAGTTCATGGAATTAAGAACGAATTTAAATAATATGAAAGAAAAATCTTTGTGAAAAAATAGAAAGAAAATCCAGAAATTGCGTGAGGGAATTGAAGATGAGTCAGAGATGACTAACACATTCAAGAAAATTTCAAACTATACTCTCTGCAACATGATCCCATGGCCAACAGAACTACTGAAAGATCGTGCAAGATAGATTTTTTTTTTTTTTTTGAGGGGGGTTCGTTTAATTAATTTTTAATAACAGAAGGTCTAAATTCTTGTACTTGTTCAAGAATGTTTTTACGGCTCCATACATCAACCGTTGGAAAAAGACAAGCTTTGTTCTTTTTTTTTTTTTTTTTTTTACATCCTTAAAAAAGCTCTAAATGTTTATGCTTTCTCTCTCATTTCAACTTTGAACTTTCCATACCAGAAGAAAAATGGAAGGGATTAAACCAGAAATGTAGATCTTCCATCACATCAAAATATTTACCCTTTAACTTATTTGAAGCTATCATACAGATTTCATGGCCGCCATTTGTGATTCTATCTTTATTTAATCAGATTACCCAACAGTAAATCTCTGGTTTATGCTTACTCACTCATACCCGTATATATATATATATATATATATATATACGAGTAAACTACAGGTCGAGAATTTTCTTTACCCATTTTTTTTTTTTTCAAATAATGGCACGAAAAGTCCAAAAAAATCTACCTGTCAAAAACCTGCAGTTTCCAACACCACGCCAGACTGACGGATTGACGAACAACAGTCACTCCATCAGCATCAAAAAATAAAATAAATAAAAAGAAAAATCGGCATGTTCATCCTCCACAGTTGTGTTATCACGTTATAATTGTTTGCACCCAATCTCCGCAGTCTTCCCACGTGCCAACTCATTACATACAAAACTAACATATTTACCCTTTCTAACAATGTTCATAATTATTATATTTTCTAATTTATAAATTAATTTTTAATCTAATATTATATATTTATAATGTAATTTAGTTGGGCTCACGTGCATGTCAATTTCGTTACTTTGAATAAGCTCAAGCTTTGAAGAAGATGAAACCGTGCCACCATTTTCTAAACTTGCCTTTTCATGTTGCTCAAAACACCAAGTGATTATATTTCTCTTTGATTATAAAATATAACATATTAATTATAAATAAAAAAACCTATTGTAATGTCATTTATATATGTCAATTAATATTTTTTTCTTTAAAAAATTACACTTCAAATTTTATGCCAATATATAATTATAAATATATTATAAAATTATTATTATTATTATTATTACTACATAAACATGAATACATGCTTTTCTCATCATTTAAACTATTTTTATAAATAAATTTAGTCTTCTTTCAATAAAATAATATTTTATATAACTAATCTCGAAAATTAACTTTTCAGTGTAAATATAGAAATGAGTTTGACTTCAAAACTTACCCGTCGAGTAAAAATAAATGTCGATCTTAGTGATTCTTCCGATTCAAGTGAAACATATAAGGAATCATAAGCTTTGTTTTGTTTTTTTTTTCTTTAGACTCGTATTATTGTTTATATTTTAAATTATGAATACCCATATTTATATATAAAGTAAAATTATTGGGTTTAAATTAATAAGTTTATTAACAAAAGCAATAATGCTTTTGCATAAAAAGAACTCCAAATTATTAAAGTTGGATTTGCATGAGACTAATATAAGAAAACATGCATGTAAAATATTAAAAGAAAATATTTTTTTAATAAATTTAACTTGATAGAAAAAAAAAATTACTTAATTTATTTTATACAAATTAAAATAAAGAATATGAGAATTAAATATAATTTTTAAATTGAAAAAATAGGTTTAATTTTTAATTCATTATGTATTTACTCCAATTAAATGAATCAGACTACTATAAATAACTTATTACATTAATAAATATAATAAATTTATTGTAATGATTAATTTAATTTAATTTAATCATTACAATTCTATCAGTATATTAATATTTTTTAATATATATGTTAATTTCTTCTTTTACTTAAAAAAAAAAAAACAATTTCTTTACTTAAGAAAGACGTGAAGTTTACTAAGATGTGATATTGTACCTAGCTACTTTGATAATTGTATTCAACACATACCCACTTGTATTATCAATATGAATAATATACATATATATATATATATATATATATGTCAATGGAAAAAAATTATTATTTTTTTAAATTTGTAAGCCCATTTTTAAGTTATAAAAGTTATGTTTTGGGTTTATAATATATGTATATATTCTAAAAGTTGTTAACTTTATTTATTTTATTATAGTTATTTAAATTTTGAAAATATATTTATATAGTAATGTATTAAAAGAAAATTTAATATAGTTATCGTAATTTTAGATACAAATAAAAATAATTTATATTTTTGTTACCATTTAAAAGTTTTTGAGTATTAATCATCTTTATGTAAAAAGAAGTTATGAAAATATTATTTATTAATCTAATTAAATTGCTAAATCATATATATATATATGTATATATATTAATGTCCTATATATTTGATTGAGAATAAACACCTTTTTTAGTTATATATATATATATATACATATAGAAGTCACATTCAAGGCACTTTCTATGGATGGAAGGTCGCTCGATTGAGTCAAATTCTATACCTAACTTTATTTTGGACCGTAATTAAAGATACTAAGACGATTGTAAAATGCTTGTTATTCGTGTTGCTTTTTCATTTGGTTTGTTCTCCTTTGATTGAATTAAAATTCAATGGTGAATATATATATATATTGTTAAAAATTAATAAAATTATCATATAATTTATAATAAAATATAATTTTTTAATATCAATATACATTTAACACATATAATTACATTAATAATAATTTTTTCTCTATTTTTTTTAAAAAAATTTAAATATGATAATTAACTAAATCAGATTCTATCATGGGCGATCTACCCGATTA